GTCTTTCTCTCCAAGGGTTGATGCTCTCCGCTATGATCCTCTTTTTATTCAGCCATAGTAGACGATCATACCATCTAATATAGGATTAACCCCAATCTGTATGCTTAAGACTTCCAAATCTTATCTCCGGCCCTAGCTTGATTTTTTATTTTTTGAAACAAAGTCTCGCTCTTTTGCTCAGACTGCTGTGCAATGGTACAATCATGGCTCACTGCAGCCTCAATCTCCTGGGCTCAAGTGATCCTCCTACCTCAGCCTCCCACAAAGCTGGGACTACAGGCATGTGCACCACACCCAGCTAATTATTTATTCTTTTGTAGAGATGGGATCTCGCTATGTTTCCCAGGCTGGTCTCGAACTCCTGATCTCCAGTGATCCCCCCTCCTCAGCCAGGCACGAGCCACTGTGAGGCTTGATTTTTGAACTCTAGATTCATGCATGAAAGGGTTTTTCCGAAATATCTACTTAAATGCACCACAGGCCACTCAAATTCAACATACCTATAATCAAACTCATCATCTTTCTTTCTCTTACCCTCAGTCAACACTGTTCCACCTGCTTTATTCCCAACTGAGCTAGTGTCTCCCACTCCCACCCACACACACTAGAAATTTGCAGGGCATCCTAGAAGCCGCTGCATTAGTCACTGTGTGCTGTTCAGGGCACTTCTTACATTCACCTCTTCCACTCCATCACTAATGCTACTGCCTACTAGTAGTATCATCATCATGTCTCACATGAATAATTGCAATACCTTTCTAATGGGTTGCACTAACTCCTCCTAAATTCATGGGCCACACTGACACTGGACAGATATACAGAAAACAAAAACCCAAACACCTTTTCACTGCCTAAAATTGGTTTCCACATTCTATAAAATCTAAAATGTCAAGTCCCATCTACCTAAAATGATTATCTTTCTCTCTAAATTCATTCCAACCATTCCTCTGTTCTCACCTTACACACTACCAATAAACGAGTTCTTGCATCCCTTCCTAAATGCTAGATGTTTTTCTTGCTTGTGTGTCTTTGTTCTTACTAGCCACTCTACCTATTTTTCCCACCTCTCTCATTGGTCAATTCTCATTAATTTTTAAAGACATAGCACCTTATTTTCTCCAGGACACCTGAGCCTCAAAGGCAGTTTCTTTTTTTTTTTTTTTTTTTTTTTTTTGAGACGGAGTGTCGCTCTGTTGCCCAGGCTGGAGCAGTGGCGCGATCTCGGCTCACTGCAAGCTCCGCCCCCCGGGTTCACGCCATTCTTCTGCCTCAGCCTTCCGAGTAGCTGGGACTACAGGCGCCCACCACCGCGCCCGGCTAATTTTTTTGTATTTTTAGTAGAGACGGGGTTTCACCGTGTTAGCCAGGATGGTCTCGATCTCCTGATCGCGTGATCCACCTGCCTCGGCCTCCCAAAGTGCTAGGATTACAGGCATGAGCCACCGTACCTGGCCCCCTTCTGCTATAGCACCTAGGATTTTAAAATCCTAGGTGCTATAGCAAAAGAAGGAACTGGTGTGGAGGCCCTGTTATACCAAAAATATCTCGAAAACAAGACTGTGTATCTCTTTACATTCCCAGTAACTAGCACCATGCTTACAGCACATAGGGGATGCTCAATAGATGTTTCTTGAACTGAACTAAAAAATATTTTTTTGAAAAAACATTGAATTGACTTTGCCAAATCTGATATTAAAGAACCAATACTGACCAATGGGCATTATATTTCTTTTCTCAGAATTCAAAACCTGTTTAAATAAGCAGTTCTAGAATTTTTCTAAAGATTAAGCCTACCAGTCGGTTTCTAGAATCTGTTTTCTATCCTAAGGCAACTGGAAAAATATTTTTCTATCTTCCATCTGTTGGCATCCATTCTGTTCTGTATGGTTTCTCAGTTTACCAACATTGTTTCTGTTACCTCACCTGCAAAACTTGGCATTAAATGTCTCTGAATATGAACACTGAGCTCATTTTAAATGATAATCTTATCTCTCTGAGAGCTTAATTTCTGACATCGTATTTATTTTTCCTATTCTCATGTAAAAGACATTGTCTCTTAAAGGAGATTAAAACTCATCTATGGCTGTGGAATCCATTTAACATAAATATGATGTGGTCAAAGCATCATACTCTCCTAATTGCCCATCCTTTAGAATCACTGCTAGCATCTCAGTTTCTCAGACAGAGTTAAGGTAAAGAGTACTTGGAAACTCTTCTGTGCTACATGGAGGAGCTATTTTCTCTATTCTGACAGATCTCCTGATACTCAATACCTAGAGCATCTAGAAATAATTTCATGACATTTTTTCCAAGTGTCACTATCCTCCTCTTATGTCTTATATCTTAGTGTATTCAGAGGCTTGAGTTCTGATATTTTTTTCTCTGAACAACAGTATAACTGATCCAAATGTTTTTTTACTTTTCTCACTTCTTGCCCTTCCCCAATGCCACACAATATAATTCCTCTGCTAAAAATACAGGTAACTTTGTCCAGACCTTTTTTTCAAAAAACTTTTTAATAAGTTCAAAATATCTCAGAAGAGAGTTAAAACTGTCCATTTGATGAATTCTTGAGACTTTGTCAATATGCTAGCCACTGCATCACTAAAAATACAAGGGCATATAGAATATGGTCCCTGACCTTGAGAACAGTTCATAAGGCTCTGATAAAAACACAGGACAGCATGTTAGAATGTATTTAATATTTTTGCACTTTAAAGAGATGCTAAATCAAGAGAGGGGGCTCGAAGGAGACCATTTGGGAGGTATGTGTGCCACCTGCAATGTGGAGAACCCAGTGAACTGGGATCTGGCTCTGCCTGGAAAATCTCAATGTGGGGATAAACTGGTTGGCTGCTTTGGTGGATGAACAAAAGAGAGGGACTGCATTGGGGTTAAGCAGTATTCCTGGAGTTTATCAAGGCAGAGGATGCAAGAAGGTTGGCATGGACCACATGTTAGCCATGCATACAAGAGTGAGCCGGAAAGAACTTGTCTTAGGTCGCGTCCAAAAGTGCCATCTAGAGGCTGAACAGAGGTACTGCCAAATGCTAAATAGGTTGAGGAATGATTAAGTCACCAGTCAGAATATAGATGTTTCATCCTGATCAAGAGAACTGCAGATAAGAGATGCCCAACTGTGGGAGTGAGAGATCTCCAAAGAACTTGCAAAAGTGTCCACGATAAACAGAATCAGCTTTTCTTCCATCTTCCGAGACCAAAGAGTACTGACATCCATGAAAGTGTTCAAGAAATAACTTTTCTGCTACTCCTGCCTCTCCGCCTGCTGTCCTGTCCCAACCGTGGAGGCATCAGAAACACCCATTAGCAATAATGAGGAGAAAGTTATTAGTAAGAGAAGAAAGAATGGGATATGCACATTACCCTGACCTGATCACTATGCCATAAATATATCAAAACACCACTATGTACCCCATAAATATGTACAATTACTACATGTTCATTAAAAAGAAAAGAAAGAATGACTCTACCACCCTTTTCTGAGTGCAGGCCATCTGCCTGCTGTATGCCTGAGGTGAGCAAATTGCAAGTGTGTTCCATTACTACAGTTATAGAACTATTTGAAATGTTAGGGAAGCACAGAGTGAAGAATGATTATTTCTTGAGGAAATAAATATGGCTTCCCAGAGAAGGCAACTCTTTATCAAAGCCTTAAAAAAAATGAGTCGGCATTTGCCAAATTGGCACATTCCAGCTCAGAGAACATCACCAACAAAGATGGAGGCTCATAAATGCATGCTGTGTTCAGTGTATTGGGAGCTCTTTGGCATAACCGGGACACAAGCCACAGAGTGGGGTATAGCACCAGATGATTCCAGAAAAAAATGGACTCAAATCAGATTGGGAGAGGTCTTGTATGCCATGGTAAAACTTTCAGCAGTTTTACTACTACTACTCCCTCAGCAGTTAAGAGATCTACTAAAATACACCTTGAAGCAAATATTTACTAAATCTGATTTCTAGCCTCCAAAATTTGAATTTAAATTCAGATATGCTCCTGATGCGTTGCAATATGTTTGCAAAGGTGTCATCTCCATAACTAATTTTCCATTCGACAAGCTCAAGGGGTCGTCCCTCCATGATGAATCTGCTTCCTAATATTTACATTTTTTGCCTCCAGATGTCACAACCAACAAAAGCATTCATCTCAAAACCTTTTTCATGACAGTACATATAGTAGGTACTGTTACAGCTAAGTCTTGTATATGCTTTAAATAATCACCTAAGTTCATAGCTACTTTTTAGAACAGAGCGAACGGGGTATGGATAGGTGTATTTGCTTGGCCAAAGCAACATTCGCATTGTCAACCTCTTCCTCCTTTTAGAAGATGTACAATTCCCTTCTACCCACCGCTGAAGCCTGGTGTCTGTGCTGGTTGGTCTGCTTCAGCCTTCTTTTTCTATGAAGCCACTTCTTGGCCTCTTGGGGAAGTGCTTCTGGCATCTCAGCTAACAGGATTTCTCCTCCCCCTCATTCACTGCCTCAGGATTTCCATCTGTCCCTGTAATCAGCAAATGCCCTAAGAAAAGCCACAGCCATCGTGATCAAACTCAAAATTCTGGCTCAACTGTCCTTCCACAAGAACAGCAATTTTCTCCCTGCCAAAAAAGCCTCTCTAACTTCTCCACCATCTTTTCCCAAACAATAGCAGACTTGCCTGAGTTACAGCTGATTGGCCAATTTTCCCTAGTAGGAAAATCTCTTCTATGTAATGGAAAGTTCTTAAAAAAAAATGAATAGCATCCCAACTGACTTCATCTCATGGCATCTCCTGGAGTCAAAGTCATGGCATGTGACTCTGATGTGGTTTTTTGTGTGTTTTTGTTTTTGTTCTCCCTGAGCTATATAAAAAAACAAGACCTATGGGATCCGTCATGTCTGACAATTATAACAAATGCCCAGGCTCACACAGGGCCAAAGGAGACAGTACACCAGGCAGGCTGAAGCATTCTTAGTTTATCTTTTTTTGCCTCTCTAGAACCTGTCCTGCACTTTGGGGATGCTGAATATCACGTCAATGAAAGTGCTGGCTCTGTGGAGGTTTGTGTTTGGAGAAGAGGCACTGATCTTTCCCAACCATCATCCATCATCGTGCGCTCCAGAAAGTCAGAGCAGGAGTCAGCAGAAGGTGAGAGGGCCACACAAAGAACATATCATTATCATGATACATGTTTATGGTGGGATCTAGTCTGTTAAGTGTAAGCACGCTTAGTCTTTGTTGATGGACTCTGAATGAAAGTTTCTCTGGTTTCAGCACGTAGGTGGTTTGTATATGTAATGACTTCTGCTAGTTATGAAATAAATACGTTATTCAAACAGCAGCCTTTATGATTCATTTATTATCCACTTGCTTGTCATGGGCTCAAATTAATTTTTCCAAAGTTCAGAATATTTATAGATACTTAAACTGCTCATAAATAATATTTCAGATAAAATTACCCCCATAATGGCCAAGCAAGTCCAAGCTCCTGGAAGAATCCCATCACATATTAGACCTTTGAAGGGTAGGAGGTTTCCACTTCAGACTCAGGCATTTGCCTTAGCTTCAAACAGCATGTGTTCATGCCCTGCTTACCTTTGCATTTCCTGACATGGATGACCAAGGCCTAGCTGACAGCATGGCACAATTCTAGATACCATTTCCTGTAGAGTACCTGTCAGGTGCTTTATCAGAAAAAGAACAGGACCCAACAGGAAAAGAAAAGGACACTTTCATGTACATTGATGCCCACATTTTCTCATTTGCAGTTGTGACCTTTTAGTATGGTATTAGGTTGTTACTTTTACATCTTTCTAACTTTTTGATGTGAGCATTTAGCACTATAAACTTTCCTCTTACTACCGCTTTAGCAGTGTCCCAGAAGTTCTGGTATGCTGTATCTTTGTTCTCATTGGTTTCAAAAAATTTCTTGATTTCTGCCTTAATTACATTGTTTGCCAAGAAGTCATTCAGTAGCAGGCTGTTTAATTTCCATGTAATTGTATGGTTTTGAGTGATGTTCATGGTATTGGTTTCTATTTTTATTGTTATATAGTCTGAGAATGTGATTGGTATACTTCTGAATTTTTTGAATTTGCTAATAATTTTTATGGCCAATGGTGTAGTCGATTTTAGAGTATGTGCTATGTGCAGAAGAGAAGAATGTATATTCTGTTAGTTCCGGGTGCAGAGTTCCATAAATGTCTATTAGGTCCATTTGGTCAAGTGTCAAATTCGGGTCCCAAATACCTTTGTTACTTTTCTGCCTTGATGGTCTGTCTAATGCTGTCAATAGGGTGTTGAAGTCTCCCTCTATTATTGTATGGTTACAATATTATTGTATGGTTATAGTCTCTTCATAGATCTTTAAGGACTTGTTTTATGAATCAGGATACTCCTCTGTTGGGCACATAAATATTACTCAGGATAGTTAAGTCTTCTTGTTGAATTAAACCCTTTACCGTTATATAATGCCTGTCTTTGTCTTTTTTTTTTTAATCACTGTTGGCTTAAAGTCTGTTTTGTCTGAAATTAGAATAGTAACCCCTGCTTTTTTGTTTTCCGTTTGTTTGGTAGATTTTTCTCCATCCCTTTATTTTGAACCTATGACTGTCATTGCATGTGAGATGGGTCTTTTGAAGACAGCATATGGTTGGATCTTTCTTCTTTATCTAACTTGCAACTCTATGGTCTTTTAATTGGGTCATTTAGCCTGTTTACATTCAAGGTTAATATTGATATGTGAGGATTTAATGCTGTCGTCTTGTTGTTAGCTGGTTTATTATACAGACTCAGTTGTGTAGTTGCTTTATAGTATCAATGGTCTACGTACTTAAGTGTGTTTTTGTGGTGGCCATAACGGTCTTATGTTTCCATATTTAGTGCTCCTTTAAAACCTCCTGTAAGGCAGGTCTGATGGTAATGAATTCCCTTAATATTTGCTTATCTGATAAAGATCTTATTTCTCCTTTTTTGATGAAGCTTAGTTTGGCTGGATATAAAATTCTTGGTTGAGTTTCTTTTTTTTAATAATGCTGAATATAGGCCCCCAATCTCTTCTGGCCTGTAGAATTTCTGCTGAAAGGTCTGCCATTAGCCTGATGAGGTTCTCTTTGCTGCCTTTCTCTTCTCTTTAGCTGCCTGTAATATTTTTGTCTTTCATGTCAACCTTGGAAAATCTGATGACTATGTGTCTTGGGGATAGTTGTCTTATACAGTATTTTGCAGGGTTCTCTGCATTTCCTGAATTTGAATATTGGCCTCTCTAGTGAAGTTGGGGAAATTTGCATGGACAATATCTTCAAATATATTTTCCAAGTTGTTTGGTTTCTCTTCCTCTCTTTTAGGGATGCCAATGAGTCATAGATTTGGTCTCTTTACATAATCCCATATTTCTAAGAAGTTTTGCACATTCTTTTTTATTCTTTTCTCTTTTTGATTGTGTTCATTCAGAGAACCTTTTTGCTATGAGGTTCCTTCCTCAGCTTGGTCAATTCTGTTGATAATACTTGCAATTGGCCCAGCACAGTAGCTCTCATCTCTAATCCTAGCACTTTTGGAGGCCTAGGCAGGTGGACTGCTTGAGCCCAGGAGTTCAAGACCAACCTGGGCAACATGGCAAAACCCCGTCTCTTCAAAAAATACAAAAAAATTAGCCAGGCATGGTGGCATGCACCTGTAGTCCAAGCTACTTGGAAGGCTGAGGTGGGAAGATCACCTGAGCCCCTGAGCCCAGGAAGTTGAGACTGTGGTGAGCCATACATTCCAGTCTGGGTAACAGAGTTCGACCCTGTCTCAAAAAAAAAAAAAAAAAATTAAATTAATTAATTAAAAAATAATAAATATTTTCAATTGTATTATGAAATTCTTGTAGTGTGTTTTCAGCTTTACCAAATTTGTTGGTTCTTTCTTCATTTCATCTTTCAGTTATTACCTCATTTTATTGTTATCCCTAGATTCCTTGGATTGGTTTTGATTTTCACCTGAATGTCAATTATCGTTATTCCTAACCATATTCTGAATTCTATATCTGTCATTTCAGTCATTTCAGCCTGGTTAAGAACCATTGCCAGGGAACTAGTACAGTCATTTGGAGGAAGGAAGACACTATGGTTTTTTGAGTTGCCAGAGTTATTATGCTGGTTCTTTCTCATCTGTGTGAGCTTATATTCCTTTAACTGTGATGTAATTTTAGTATAGGCAGTTGACTTTGTTTCTGGATGTTTTCAGAGGGCCAAGGCTTTGTTCAGGGTCTTCATTTGTAGCTGAATTCTTGTCCTTGGTTTCACAGGGTTTTATATGCACAGTATTGTTGGTTTTGAAGTTTGGGCTGTGATCTAGAAGATGGTGTGTAAGTGTAATGGCTGGTAGGCAGGCTGTCAGCCAAATGGCTCCTTTGTGCATTTGCAGCCATGTTCCCTCTCAGCACTCTAACAGTGTGGGCTCCTCTCTTACTTGAGTGCTGGCTGCAGATCCTGACTTTGCATTCCTAAGCTATACACCACAGCCCTGAGGCAAGCTCAGGTTTTACATGTCCTCCCCTGCTTGGGGGCGATGAGGACAGGGACCTTTAGCCGTGGTAATGGCAGAGGGTTTTCCACTTGTCTCTTGGAGCTCCACCCCAGAGAAACACAGAGCTACTACAATCAGAGTGACTGCATTCTGAGCCCAAGCTTGGGGGACTGGGGAGGGCCTGCCTGGTGATGAGCAGGGGATGCAGGAGGCTCACAGGGAGGACAGACTGGCCTCTTCTCCTTAGGGCAGTTAAGAGCTGGAGGTGTGAGTAAAGCACTCAGAATCTTTGTTCCTTTTCTTGTCTGTCTGGGGGCAGCAAGGGCAGTACCACTACAGTGGCAGTAACTGAAGAACTTTCAGTTGCCTCTGGGAGCTCCACCCCAGAGAAATGCAGAGCCACTGCCAATGGAAATGTTCAGTCAGGAGGTAGTGCAGCTGTGCTGTGGGCTTGAGCCAGGAGACCTGTTTGGTGAAGAGCAGAAGGTCGGCGGCTCACAGGGAAAACAGACTTGGCTCCTCTCCATATGGCAACTGGCATGGTAGAGGTGGGAGTAAAGCCCTCAGACTCTTTGTTCTTTCCCCAGTCTGAGGGCAGCACTGGCAGAACCACTGCAGTGGCAGTGGCAGAGGGGCTGTGAGTTGCCACTGGGAGCTCCAGCCCAGGAAGACACAGAGCCACTACCAGTGGGAATGCTCAGCCAGGGGCAGGGCAGCCGCTCTGCAGTCCTGAGCTGGGGGCCCTGCCTGGTGAACAGTAGAGGCTCCCAGGAAAGAGAAACTGAGCTCCTCTCCGTATGGTGTTTGTGGCATGCTGGAGGTGCTGGTAACTTGACCAGCCCTTTGTTCCTTCCCCAGCCTGAGGGCAGTAAGGGCAGTAGACTGCAGCTGCAATGGCAGAGAGGTTTTGCATTGTCTTTGGGATTTCCTCCCCAGAGAAATGCAGAGCCACCAATGATTAAAGGGTTCAGGTGAAGACAAGGTGGCTGTGCTGGATTCCCAGGTCGAGAGGCCCTGCCCAGTGAGGAGTAACAGTGGCAGGGACTCACATGGAGAACAGCCTGGGCACTTTTCTGTAAGGCTGCTGCACTGGGCTGGAGGCCTGAGTTAGTCCTGAATCTCTTTGCTCCCTCCCAAGCCTGAGCTCAGCAGGAGTGGGGGTTGTGGAGCAGCAAAAATGGTGGCACTGCTACTTCTGGGAGCTCTGTCCCAAGGAAGTGCAGAACTGCTACCAGCCAAGAGCCTAGGTGGGGCTGGGGTGGCCGGCGTCCCAGGTCGGGAGGCCCTGCCCAGTAAGAGGTAGCAGAGGCAGGACTCATGGGGAAAACAGTCTATTTCTCCATAAGGCAGCTGTGCTGTGCTGGGGGTTACATTAGTTCTCAATCTTTTTGCTCTCTCCAGAGCCTGAAGACTGCAGGGGCCAGAGCTGCAAACCAGCAAAACCGACAGGCCTGCCTGCTACCACTGGGATCTCCATCCCAGGGAAATACAGGGCTGCTACCAGCCTGTAAGCTCAAGTGGCCACGCTGGGGTCCCAAGCCAGTGGGCTTTGTTTAGTGAGTTCAGTGGAAGCAAGATGTATAATCCATCTGCTCTTCAGCTCTGTGGATTCAGCCCCTATCCTGGGGGCATGTGAGGCAGCAGGAGCTTAGGGTTCCCAGGGGCCTTGGGACTCCATGCATGTCTGAGCCTTAGCTCTGCCCCGTCTCCACACGGTTCCCTGTGTCTGTCTGGAGGTGCCAGTGGTGGGGGTGGTCATGGGGGATTTCCAGAGCCCAGGGTTGCAAAGTCTCATGGAAGAACTGTGGGTCCCAGGAAGCTCGCACTCACCATTTACCCACGGTGGGGATCCTCCCCTGGCTTCGCCCCAGTCCTAGGTGGGCAGCTGTCCTGTCTCCATCTTCTCTGTTCTCTGTGGGTCATGTTGCTTCCTTGATGAATCTCAACCTGTCCACCTGGATAATCCAGCTGCAGAGCTTGTGTGTTTATTCACCACTCTCTGTCCTCTCCATGAGAGCGGCACACACTAGCTGCTTCTAGTCAGCCATCTTGCCACTCCTCTCCCCTTTTTTTCATTCTTTTTTAAGTTTTCAGACAGAGTAATTTATCACTCTGTGTGTATCCATGAAAACAAGAGTGAAGAAACCAATTTGGTTAGGTGGACTTCTTTGCTTGTGGTTTGAAAGAGAAATTTAGATTCCTTTAGATAAACCTCTTTGCATAAAAGTAATGATGCCTCTGCTAGCTGTCTGGTAGGGATGAACTAATAGAAGTAATGTTCATGTTTGGGGTGGTGATTCATGGGTTTAATAAGTACAGTTGTAGAAGTAAGGTTTATACTTGATAATCTATTGAACCTAGTAAATATTTGATATCTGCTCAGGTTAGTTAACTATATTAATCTTATGTATAAGATATACCTTGTTACATTAATAATTATAACTTCTGTGTTCTTAATGCCTACTATTTGCCAGATACTGTGTTAGCATCCTTGCTCTACTATCTATAATCTTCACAATAAACCTTATAAGGTAGCTATCATTATCCCCATTTTGCAGTTGAAGAAAAGAAACTGAGACTCAAAGAAGTTAAAGAATTAGTATAAGTAAGCAATAAACCAAGATTTGAGTCAAAGTCCATGAGATACAAAACCTTATCCATTACTCTCCTGCCTTAGTAATTTTCACTATAACCTTGCTTTTGTTTTTGTTTTTGAGACAGGCTCTCGCTCTGTCACCCAGGCTGGAGTACAGTGACGTGATCTCAGTTTACTGAAACCTCTGCTTCCCAGGTTCAATTGATTCTTGAGCCTCAGCCTCCTAAGTAGCTGTAACTACAGGCACTCACCACCATGCCCTGCTAATTTTTGTACTTTTAGTAGAAATGGGTTTCACCATGTTGGCCAGGCTGGTCTGGAACTCCTAACCTCAAGTGATCTGCTCGCCTCGGCCTCCCAAAGTGCTGGGATTACAGGAATGATCCACCAGGCCCGGCTCTGTTTTGTTTTCTTAATGTCACTATTTGGTGCCTTTTAGAAAAATTTTTGGAGTAATCTCAAACTTACAGAAGAGTAACAAGTAGAATGAGATACTTTTCTTTTTCATCAACTATTGAGAGTAAGTTTGGAACCATGTCTCCAAAAACTTACAATGTAATTCCTTCAAAGACCTTCTCTTGTATAACCACAAAACAAGCATAAACTGAGAAATTAACTTGATACACTTCCATAATCTACTCAGACCTCATTCAAATTTCAACAGTTGTCCTCAAATCATTCTTTACAGCAAAAGAATCCAGTTCTAAATCACGCATTATATTTAGCTGTCATGTCTGCTTTTGTTTTCTTCAGTCTACAACAGTCCTCTCAACACCTTGATGTTTTTGAAGATTATAACCCAGTTATTATACTATATAGAATGTCTTCCAAATTTGGGTTTGTCTGATGGTTTTTCATAATTAGATTCAGGTAATGCATTTTTAGCAGGAATATCACAAAGATGATACTATCCTTTCATTGTATTCTGTCAAATGGCACACAGTTTCCATTTGTCCCATTATGGTGGTGTTAACTTTGGTCACTTGGGGAAGGTAGTATCTGCCAGGGTTCCTCATTATATTACCTTTTTTCCTTTGCAATTAATATTTTATGGAGGAGTACCTTGAGACAATATAAATATTCTGTTCCTCTATTTATTTTTATATTTATATCACTCAGGGGTTTCTATTTAATTCCATTGATTATCATATGTTACAATCATTACATTTAATGACTTTCCAAATAAGTCTCAAAGAAGCTGTATGGTGAGGTGGACCAGCTTGAAAAAATGACTAATAACAACCCAGAGAATGGCAGAACTTCATGGCTTCATAAAATTGAGCAGAATGTTGTGAGATTAAAACAGATGTCTGGCAAAAGTGAATGAGTGAAACCTAATCAAAATAAAATGTATCATATTTATCTTCAAGGTTAAAAATTAAAAAGGCAAATCCTTTCATTTCAAATTGAAGCTACCTTCAGAGATCCTTCAATCAATTGGCAGAATCTTGGTGGAAGTAGTTGGAAGGTGATGTGCCTGGTCTAGACGTGTAAAGCCCTGGTGAGGATGGCAGGTGGGCATGGCACAAGGGACTACAAGGCATTTGGTAGAATATGGAAGTTCCCCCTACTGGGGATCAAACCCAAAATATATGATCCTGAGAGTGCTGGGTACAAAGGAGAATGCCGCAGAGTTGATGATGATCATTTTTCTCTGAAGGAAAACTTATGACAAATTCTACCGTCTCACTAGTGCCTTTTCCTCTTCCACTAGCTGGAACAGATTATGTTGGCATCAGCCGAAATCTGGACTTTGCTCCAGGCGTGCACCTGCAGACATTCCGAGTGACCATCCTTGATGACCTGGGACAGCCCACCTTGGAAGGCCCAGAGAAGTTTGAGTTAGTTCTTCAGATGCCTATGGGTGCAGTGCTTGGAGAACCAAATAAAACTACCGTTTTCATCAAGGATACCATCACTGACTGTAAGCAGAGTGCTTGTAGTTCCTTTGATTGAAAGACTTTAAGAGGGAAAAAAAAGCGTCAAGATATGTCTTCTAACAACAGAATGAAACTCTACTGTTTATAGATCTTAGCAATTCTGGGATATCAGTGATATTGTACCATCATTGGTGTTATATTCTGGTGATATGTGGAAATGTAATTTATGTGACTGCATGGAAATAGAAATATATATACATAGAAAACATTGAGCCCACAAAGAATTAGACCGTATTCATGTTCTTTTTCTATTTTGTTTTACTTTGTTTCTGAGGCAAGCAAGAAATCCACTGTGATCAATTAAATCAAAAGTTAAAATCAAAAGATTAACCTCTCTTTACTGATTGATGCCGCATATGAAACACTTTTCAACTGTCTCTCCATATATAAAGTTCTTTTAGTGAATTCTTCAATTTTTCTTCACAACTCTTTATCAGAACTACTTGGTAGGAATATTTTTCAACTCTTTATTCCTTTGCACTCTTTTGCAAAAAAAAAAAGGATAATAAACAGTAAAGTGATGAAAATGTAAGTAGTGGAAAGGAGAAGAAAGAAGAGTTGAAGATTTGCATAGTTCACAAACTGCCCAGTTAGTTCTTAACTAATGTTAAATTGACAATATATATAGCTGTGGCTAATACCACATAAATCAAAGTTCCCAAATTATTTTGAAACCACATCTTTGTGCCCCATCATTACTTTTTAGGTATTTCTTGTGCAAGTCTTTTTTTAAAATTTGTGTTTCAGACATTAACTTATTCTCAAGCCAACATAGTGTATAATAGAAACCATTCCCAGATGCATGTTTTCCAAATGTTGAATGGGGATGACAAGGCTCTTGACTGTAATATAGTCTGCATATATAGGCCAAGAAGCCCTTGTCTACTCTTAGCCCAGGTTTTGCTTCTTTGCTAGACTTTCATTTTCCCAATCAGAGAAAATATTTTTCTAAACTACCTTATAACTCTTGACCTCACTTCTCGCTCTGTAAAATGAGAAATTTGGACTCGATTTCTGTTAAGATCTCTTCCAGTTCTGTCTGATTCCTGTCTGAGTGCATATCCACCAACAGAAAATCACCCTCCCTTACCTTGCAATTTGCCCAACTACCAGAGTCAAAAATCTTTTAAACTCAAATTCAACAAATAGTTATTGGGCTGCTTCTTCAGGTCAAAGAGATATGTCCCCTTCACATGCATTAGAAAAAAAGTAATAGAAAAACTACACTTGGACCAAGATAACTCTCAGATATACCTAAGAGACCCCACAGATGCCCTGGTTTGGGCCTCAGATGAAGCCACAATTGAATTTCCTGCTAAGTACGTGTGTGCCCAGGGGAAATACACATTGTCAGCGTTATGGAGGAATCTGTTTTGAACTCGAAATTAATTCCAGTCTTTCAGTGTTTTCCAGAAAATCACTCTTTTTCTTTCTCACTGTATTTTTTGTTACTTAGGTACATTCAGATGAATGCAGTGTTTAGGCATTCATATTTTTGGAGGGAGGATATCACAGACAGTGCTTTTTATAAAGTCTGTTTCATTCCCAGTTTCTACCCATTAAGACGTACCAGAGAAGCAAAATTACATTTTTTAGGCTTCTAGGATAAAACCTGGTATATTCTAGTTATGACTTATAGCATATTCTACAGTTCAGTAATGAAAGTAATCTAGTGTCCTGAAAGAGTGAAAAAATATCTGATTTCCTACCAAGAATGGAATTACACACTATTGAAAATTGGGCTCATTTGTCATCCCTTATATACTCTTCCCTATGCTAACATTTTTATAGAAAAAAAATTAAATTTTTTTTCTCACTTAATATTTTAGTTTTCTCAGAGCTGGAAAGTGTAATGGAGATATACTAGATGTTGCTATTCTTGTGTAAACTTTAAATGGAAAGGTGTTGTATATTTTATTTCAGTACCCAGGGCCCAATTTAAGGGGTCCACTGACAGGGTGAATGAAAGAGGCAGCTAAGGGCCATCATTTACTGGAGCAGAGACACCAGCCACAGGTCCTTGGTGAAATGCTGTACCCACCAGGGCTCAGCCCAGGAGACTGAACTATGGGGAGCAACCCAACACTGATGACTCCACAGTTGGTTTTCTGCCAACTAAGCATTCAAAAATGTGTTTGTCACTAAGGCAGCACAATGTTGCTGCTCCTAACCTTATTTATAATAATAAATAATTATAAGCAGCCCAATACTCAGGAAATGGTTAACTGAATTATAGGATATCTACGTGATAGAATAGTATGAATTCTAGAGTATCCGCAACCATGTGGCTATTGCAATCCTTAAACATATGGAAAACACTAAAAGAAAATGCCTGGAAATGGTAATAACTTTCTATTAGGGTAATGAGATTATCAGTCATTTTTTTTGTGAATGTACTCTAAAGTTATTTAATCGGTAAATATATGTGCTCATTAGGAAGTTGTTGCTATTTATGAAATTAAGGAAATTAAACAGATTATAATGACCTCATTCTGTTGTTATTATCACAATTTGTGATGAAGTCTCATAGGGTCCCTGCAGGAATGTTTAGCGCTGACTTGTCCTAATCCCTGGAACCTATGGATTTTACCTTATATAGAAAAAGCATCTTTGCACATGTAATTAAGGATCTTGAGATAGGAAGATTATCCTGAATGGGCCCTAAATGTAATCACAAGAGTCCTCATAAGAGGGCGTGAGATGGAGGTTACATACAGAAGAGGAGGATGCAATGTGACTATGAAAGGCAGAGACTGGAGTGAGGGGGCTACAAGCCATGGAAGGCCAGCAGCCATTGGAAGCTGGCAGGCAAGAAGTAGATTCTCCTGCTGGAGGCAGCACAGCCCTGCCGACACCTAGGCTTTGTTCCAGTAATACTGATTTTGGACTTCTAAACTGCAGAACTAGGACACATTTCTGTTTTTTTTAAGCCGTCAAGTTTATAGTAATTTGTTGGAGTAGCCACAGGAAACTAGTACCACAGGCAGGGAGAGATCAGGAGAGTTTGCTGGTATTGGCAACGAAGTAAAGTGAAGAACACTAGAAAGCACGCTCAGAGAACACAGACAGAGGCTGACACTCAGTGTCTGCTGTGAGGGGATCTTTCTGTACAGATTCAAGGCCCTGTCCTGAAGACATAATGCGGTTCATCTGACAGAGGTCATACTGGGAAGCAGCATCAGCAGATATACAATGTCCTGAAAGTAATGGGAATTCCAATCTGAGGCTTTAGTAGACCTATGTTTAGAAAGAAGCTGTAGGCAGTCCGGCATTAGCCTAATCTACCAATAATGTAATAATTACGACATCTAATGAAATAAAAAGTATTCCTTGCCTGGGCATGGTGGCTCACACATTGCTGGTATAATCTCAGCACGCTGGGAGGCCAATGCAAGAAGACTGCGTGAGCCCAGGAGTTTGAGACAAGCCACTGCAACACGGTGAGACCCTGTCCCTACAGAAAACAAAAAATTAGCCAGGTGTGATGGCCTGAGCCTGTAGTCCCTGCTTCTTGTGAGGCTGAGGTGAGAGGATTACTTGAACCCAGAAGTTTGAGGCTGCAGTGAGCCACTGCACTCCAGCCTGGGCAACAGAGCAAGACCCTGTCTCAAACAAAACAAAACAACAAAACAAAGATAAAACTCTGATTTTATTCCTCTACTCACAACATTTCTTACATGAAATGTGTGGGTTCTTCCCACACCAATAACCAATTCTCCCACTCTTGGGATACCAACTGGGTACCCTACGATTCCTACCTGGAGTTAGCATCAGACCCCACAGGCGAAGGGCTCTGTCCCTCAAGACTGCCCCACTTCAGACACCATACTTCTGAACAACTTGGCTACAAATTGGAGATGCCCATAATCACCTCTCAGGTTTGATAATTTGCAATAACAGCACAGAACTCAGGGAAACACTTTACTATTACTGGTTTATTATAAAGGATATTACAATAGATAGAAATGAACAACCAGATGGGCCAGGCTCAATGTCTTACACCTGTAATCCCAGAACTTTGGGAGGCCAAGGTGGGTAGACCACTTGAGGTTAGAAGTTTGAGACCAGCCTGGCCAACACAGTGAAACCCTGTCTCTAGTAAAAATACAAAAATTAGCCGGGTGTGGTGGCATGTGCCTGTAATCCCAGCTATGTGGGAAGCTGAGGCAGGAGAATCGTTTGAACCCAGGAGACAGAGGTTGCAGTGAGCCAACATTGCGCCACTGCACTCTAGCTTGTGTGAGAGAGCAAGAGTCCATCTCAAAAAAAGAAAAAGAAAAAGGAAAAAAAAAGAAAAGAAATGAACAGCCAGATGAAGAGGTACATAGGGCAAGGTCCCAAAGGGTCCTGAGCACAGGAGCTTCTGTCCCCTGGAGTTTGGGATGCACCACCCTCCTACCATGTGAATGCATTCACTGACTTGGAATCTCTCAAAACCCTGTCATTTAGGGTTTTTATGGAGACTCTATTTTATAGGCATGATTTATTAAATCATTGGTCATTGGTGATTGACTTAATCTCCAGCTCTTCTTGCCTCCCTCGAAGTTGGGAAGTGGAACTGAAATTTCCAGCCCTGTAATCACGTGGCTGGCTCCTCTGGCAAGCAGCCCATCCTTCACCTCATAGGGCATGCCCAAGATGGCCAAATAAGAACAGCTCCAGCCTCTAGCTCCCAGCGTGAGTGACACAGAAGACGGGTGATTTCTGCATTTTCAACTGAGGTACCGGGTTCATCTCACTGGGGAGTGCTGGACAATCGGTGCTGGTCAGCTGGTACAGCTCGACTAGCGAGAGCTGAAGCAGGGCAAGGCGTCGCCTCACCTGGGAAGCACAAGGGGGAAGGGAATCCCTTTTCCTAGCCAAGGGAAATTGAGACACACAACACCTGGAAAATCGGGTAACTCCCACCCTAATACTGTGCTTTACCAAGAGTCTTAGCAAATGGCACATCAGGAGATTACATCCCACACCTGGCCCAGAGGGTCCCACACCCACAGAGCCTCCCTCATTGCTAGCACAGCAGTCTGAGATCTAACCACAAGGCGGCAGTGAGGCTGGGGGAGGGGCGCCCGCCATTGCTGAGGCTTAAGTGGGTAAACAAAGCCACTGGGAAGCTCGAATTGGGTGGAGCCCACCACAGCTCAAGGAGGCCGGCCTGCCTCTGTAGACTCCTCCTCTGGGGACGGGGCATAGCTAAACAAAAAGCAGCAGAAATCTCGGC